AATCACTCCAAAATTCTGATATATTCCCTAATGAAGATAGAAATATAATTCTGGGCCGTATTCTCAGCACATTATAGATAAATTTAGTTTTGAGCATTTCATAGACTATTTTTGCATCCTTCTTATGTATTCATTTGGGATAGTTTAGAAAGAGCCTATTTTTGGAGAGGGCTTTTAATCATTTACTGATTTTGAAGATGTACTTCTGGAGAGAGCTCTTAGAGGTGGATCTGATTTTTGCTAATAGCACTTTTGCTTTCTGTCCCTTGCATAAGCCCTGGAATTTTGAGTAAAAATATTGAGCTGTTGACACAAGGCTTTGTATTTTAATGAGAAAAAGAAAAATATGCTCTTAACAGGTCCAAAACTTCTTTTTTGCCTTAGGAAGCTACTGACTTAAAATACGGTGAACACAAATTTTAACCAACACTGACTCATCAAGGATGGCCTTGAGGGAAGTTCTTTAAATTCCAAGAGTCCCAGAATCTCCAAAGGTAAAATGAGAAGCATAATGTAAGGTAAAATGTAGCTATTTATTTGTGTAAATCTTTACATTGTACAAATACTTTCAAACACACTACCTCAAATAATCCTCTGCTAGCCACATCTATAAATGACGAAATTGAATTGAGGCCCAAGGAAACTAAGAATGTCCAAAGATTGGAACCACTATTTGTGAACTTCTTGACATTACTCCTGAAAATGTTTTGACATTTGAGCTGCTAAGCTGGACCCAGTGTGATTGGCACACTTCAGTTTTTAAAATTTGAATGCGTTTAGGTGACTCGTGCTTTCCAGCTCAGTCCAGTCTTCCCACTACTACTAATAGTCCCGTCACTGATCAATTTGCCTGTTTTTGTCAGGGCCTCCAAATACATCTGTGTGTGTGACATTATCCTGAGTATATTTTCCTGGGGTAATAGTATTTCCTAGTTGAAAACTTGGGGTCTTGCCTATCTGTTTCTTAAGAGCCTTGGTCAACATTCAATAGCAATAAAAAAAAATTCCTCAAAAGATTCTACGTGTGTTTGCACCATAATATATATAACCAGATTTCCTAAGTGGTTAGTGATAACCCAAACCTGTTTTGTATTCTTCAAAAAGGCTTTTTTTATGTTCTATTTAATGGTGAAACTAAAAAGTAAAAATGTAGGGGATGGGCTAGACAGGCTATAAATTTAAAATTATTATATATAGAAGTGAAACTAAAATGAATAACCAGTGTTAAGTTCTACTGATGTCTGTGGTAATGTATTGTTTCAAGGCAAAAGAAATGAGAGTATGTGGTGTATAGGTTACGCTTTTTTTTCCCTTGGGATGAGTTAGGAGATCCACTTATAAGAGAACCATTATTGATAGCCAAAAAGGCATTTACAAGAGAAGAACATCTCCTCTTACCCTTGCTCAAAACTTTAAAGACATATGTAAGGGTACCTGAGACCACCCTTCTGAAGCTGGACAAACAGCAAGTGCATGGGCATCTCCTAAGTCCCAAATTATTTATTCTACACATTCTTAAAAATGATCTGAGTGACAATTGCACTCTGAC